GCATAAGTTAAATATTTTTCTTTTTTTTGTAAAATTTGTTTTTGTAATTTCAAGTATTACAATTTTTTCTTTTTTTGTTTAGCTAAGCAGATTTTTAAATTTTTAATCTTTGGTTTTAGTTAATATTGTAATATGCTATTTTTATTTTTTATTTTTTTACTTTTTTTTAACTTTTTTTGTCTTATCTATATGTTTTTTACTTTATTTTTTTTGCTTTTTTCTTTTTTTAAACTAGAATATATTTTTTTTTCTTTAAAATCTTCTTTTATTTTATAAAAAATCTTTAATTTTTTTATTTATACTTATTAATTTAACTAAGGTATCTTTGAAAATAATTAGCTAAGCTCTTTTATGCAATCTTTTTTGCTTTTCAAATTTCTTTAATCTTTTTAAAATTTGATCTAGAATGTCTTCTATATATATACTGTTCTTTTTTAACTAGGTCTTGATCTTAGTTATCTTTTTTTAAGATTTTTTTCCTCTTTGATAATATTTATATATCTTATTTGGCTTTTTGTATTTTTGTTTTGTATATTGCTTCTTTTTTCTAATGTCTGATTTTTTATTCTTGAATTGTTTTTATTTCTTTTTCTATTTATATATCTTGTTTTTATTTTTATTTTTTATTTTTATTATTCTCTGTATCAAAAGTTTGATTAAATCTATTTCAAATTTTTTTCTTTCTTAATGCTCTTTTTTTGTTTTTTACTATATAGGCTTTTTTAATTTTTTGATAAATATTTTTTAATTTTCTTTATTTATATTTATTATTAAGTCTTATATTATTAAATAGTTTCAGTTTTTAAACTTGTTTGTTTTATAATAATCTTTGTTTATTTTTATTTTATTTTTTCTATTTATATTTATTTTTTATAGTATTTTTGATATATTTTTTTTTTAGTACTTCTTATTATATATATATATATATATATATATTTTTTTTCTAGTATCATTCTATACCAATTACTTTTTTTTTTGCTAATTCTTGTATTGCTTTACTTTTGCTATTTTTATAGTTAAAATTTATCTCTATTTATAATGTTATAATTTAAAATATGATTGTTATTTATATATATAAAATTGAACATATATGCAACATAATTAGTAGTATAACATATATAGTAGATATTGCATATATAGCATATATAGCATATATAGTGTATATATATATATAGTATAATTAGTATAGTTAGTATATATAGTATAAGTAGTGTATTTAGTAAATATAATATAAATAGTATATTTAGCAGATAGAAAAAGTATATAAGTAATGCACTTAAAATATAAAGAAAAAAAGTTAAACAATATTATGATAAAGAAATAATTATCTTTAGTACACTTGCCAAATTTAATTTTTTTTTTTTTTTGGTATTAAGGTAACCTCTTTGGTCTTTTGACTTTTATTAATCACTTATCAGTATTGTGGTTCAATGAATCACTACAGGAGAGCATACAATTGGCTACATGTATAACTTTTCTATATTACCTATTTAAGGAGTCTGCTCGAAGGTTTCCTACCAATTGCTGTACCTAACACCTCTGCTTGGGCGTTCCACTTTAAACCCTCTGAACCTGTAACCTGTGTTAACATCACTGGTCATCTCTGATGTATCAGATCATCATCCTCAATCTTAGGACTAATTTATCCTCAAGGTAAACCTCCCAGAGCCTTCTGTATTCATTTTTACAGCTGACTTAGGTATCGCTATAGCAGAACCAACACTTGTGGTCAGGGCTAACTATTAAACCACTATGCTCTTGTAGAGTTCACTTAGACTCCAGCATCTACTTTACAGTATAACCCTAGTACTTTAGTATACCTTTGCCTTTTGTCCAGCCTTTTTACCAAACTCCCAATCCAGATAGCCTGTATATGACTATGACCAGTCCATCGATATATTAGGTCAGCCCGATATCCTTTTTCTCTGGTTTGTTCTGGTGACCTGGTTGGTGGTACCTCTGGGACCCCAACCCAGAAGTTCTTGCCCATCTAGCTACTATAACCAGGTACTATGATCTTGGTATCTATTTCTCCAGACTAGCCTTTTGTCACAGTACAAGGATCACTTCGAACATGCACTATATAACAGAAGACGAGACACAGTATAAGAAGCTTGGGCAAGACGCAAAAAAGTATTTGTATTGATCAGACTAGAGCTAAGTATACATTTTGTTTTCTCTTTTTTATATCTTTTACTAATTACTAATCACTATTGCATTTTTACTTAGGTACTATGAAACTATGACTACATTATTCATACACACTTTATTACTATTTTAACTACACTATGATTATATTATTAATGCACGGCTTTATTGCTACTTCTAATTGTGCTATGACTACATTATTAATGCGAGACTTTATTACTTCATTACTTATGCGTACAGGGTCTTGGGTTTGTGACAGATCTGAGTTTTAGGCTTGGATCGTGGTTTTGGGTCAGGCTTGAGTTATGGGCTTGGGTCATAGACTTGGGTCATGGGCTTGAGTTCGGTTCGGGTCACGAGCTTGGGTTGGGACTGGGTCATAGGCTTGGGTCAGGACTAGGTCATGGGCTTGGGTCAGGACTGGGTCATGGGCTTGGGTCGGGCTTGGGTCAGACTTAGGTCACAGGCTTGAGTTAAGCTTGAGTCACGTGCTCGAGTCGGGCTTGCGTCATGGGCTTGGGTGGCTTTGGTGTATAACCATGACATTATCCCCCCCTTAATTCTTCGTTTCCTCTTCCTCCTTTGCTTTAGGTTCATTGAAGTTAACTTTGGCCCAGGCTTATATAGATACATCTGGTGGAAGTTTTTTACTGCCTCTTCGACATGTACGACATTATTTGCAGGCTCCCACGAATTTTCGTTTGGGTCACAACCTTTCCATTCGACCAGGTAATGTAGTTTCTTTCAGATTAGCTTCGAGTCAAGTATTTTCTCCACTTCGTATTCTATTTCACCATCTACTATTACTGGAAGGGTGGCTACTTGCATCTACCAAGGATGTCGTTTGTCTCATATAATTCCAGAAGAGATACATAGAACAGATTGTGGATCTTGAGAAAAGGAGGCAAGTCCAAGCGGTATGCTACTGGATTTATTTGAGAGGTGATCTTATATGGCCCTATCTTTTGGTAATCTAATTTACCTGATTGGCGTTATGTATGTATATTTCTTCTTATTAACCAAACTTGATTGCCAATCTTTAACATAAGTAGTTCCTGACATTGCCGATCAGCATATTGTTTGTGGTGTTTTTGTATGGCACTCAATTCTTGTGTAAGTTCTTCTCTTATTTGTCATAGTTGAGCTGCCTTCCCTTCAGTGGATGGTACAGTTGGGCAGGAGGGTGCTTGAACATCGAATTATGGATTGAACCTGTAATTAGCAAAAAATGGGGTCATTCTTGTTGATGAATGTATAGAGTTATTGTATGAGAATTCCACTATTGGTAGAAGGTAGTCCCAATCGTCTTGTTGGTAATTTATGGCGCATCTTAGATATTGCTCTAAGATTTGATTGACCCTCTCGCTCTGCCTGTCTGACTGTAGGTGGTTTACTGATAATAGATTAATTTTCGTCCCCAAAAGTTTAAAGAGTTGTTTCCAAAACCGGGAGGCGAATTGTGGGCCTCTATCTGACACAATTTCTTCAGGTATCCCATGTAGGCGGATTACTTCCTGAATTATTAACTGGGCAGTTTGTTCAGCGGTGATATTCTTATGACAGGCGATAAAATGTGCCATTTTTGTCAGACGGTCCACCATCACTAGGATAGAGTCAAAACCTAAGGATGTAGGTAGGTTGGTTATATAATCCATGGATATGGATTGCCACTGGTACAATGGAATGGGCAGGGGCATCAACAACCCATATGGGCAGTGTTTTGGTATCTTTGATCTGGCACATGTGTTACATGTTCTGACATATTTTCGCACAAAAGATTGAAGGTTGGGCCACCAGTAGTCTCTGGTTACTAATTCGATCATTTTAGCTATTCTGAAATGCCTGGCTAGTTTAGAGTCGTGTCGAGCCTGCATTATCTCAAGCTTTTCCATCATGCAAGGTACATATAATAACCCTTCTCTATAGAGTAACCCGTCTTCATACGAAAATTTATGGTAGTTGGAACAAGAGCCATTGTCGGTTGTGTTGATAATGTTTAGATGGCTTATAACATCCAAGGTGAGTGGATCTGTCTCCAACTGGGATTTGATACGTTGTAGGAAGGTGTAGTCTAATGGTGCTGTTGAGACAGCATTTAGGTGAATTCTTTCTTGTTTTAATAGTACTGTTTGGTGGAAATTAGAGTTGTATTGAGGAGTTTTATAGTCAGGTCTGCGGGACAATACATCTGATTTGCCTTGGTCCTTTTCTGGGCGGAACAGGATCTCAAACTCGTAGTTGAATAAGTATTGTGACCATCATGCCTGATGGTGATTAAGGAGTCAGGCGGAGGTAAAGTATTGCAGGTTTTTATGATCACAATAGATGATGACCTTATGTTGGGCCCCTTCTAGGTAATGATGCTATTGTTTAAAGGTGGTTACAATGGCCAGAAGCTCCTTGTCGTGAACATCATAGTTTATTTCTGCAGGTAAGAACTTGCGAGACTAATACGCAACTAGATGCAGATGCCCATCCTCTTGTGGCTAGGACAGTATAGCTCCCAACGCATAGTTTGACACATCGGTTTCTAGAACGAATTGTTTTCTAAGATCCACGTGCACTAGAATCGGGGCTGATGTAAAAGCTTTCTTTAATCTCTCAAATGCTCCTTGTGCTTCTTTGGTCCATTTGAAGCCTTTACTTGATTTCCAGGTTAGGTTTGTAAGGGGGTGGCTTCCTTGGAATAGTTTTTTATGAAGTGACAATAATAATTAGCAAACTCCAAAAACTGCTGTATTTCTCTAAGTGTTGTGGGTACGGGCCAAGAGAGTAAGCTATTGACCTTTTTTTTGTCCATCTCTATCTCCGTAGACCTAATAGTGTACCCCAAGAACTCAACACAATCTTTATCAAACTCGCACTTCTCCAGTTTTGCATACAGACCGAAATGATAAAGCCGCTCCAGGACTAGTTTCACATGTTGGGTATGTTCTTCAAGTGTTGCTGAGTATATTAGAACATCGTCCAGATATACAATAACGAATCTATCTAACCATTCTCTAAACATGTCATTCATCAGATGTTGAAAGACCGCTGGGGCATTTATAAGCCCAAAAGGCATTACCAAGTACTCGAAAAGACCGTAATGAGTACGAAATGCGGTTTTCTATTTATCATCTGGCTTGATCCTAACTAGATTGTAGGCACCTCTTAGGTCTATTTTGGTAAAGATTCGGGCCGAAGATAAACGATGTAGTAGCTCTGAAATAAGAGGAAGTGGGTAACGATTTTTTATAGTAACTTGGTTTAACCTGCGATAGTCTACACATAGCCTTAGGGACCCATCTTTTTTCTTAACAAATAATATAGGGGCCCCTGCAGGAGACCTAGAGTGCCTGATATATCCCTTGTCTAGGTTTTCTTCTATATACTTCTTTAGTGTCTCCAATTCTAATTCTGATAATTTGTATATAGGCCCCCATGGGGGTTGTTTCCCAGGTGCTAAGTCTATCGCACAGTCATAAGGCCTGTGCTCTGATAACCTATCTGCCTCTTTTTTATCAAATACATCACTGAAGTTATTATATTTTATTGGAAGTGTTGGCGTAGCTGTTTCAACCTTCCCGTTTACAGGGGCTACATGAAAAATTTGAGCCCAGAAGACTTTCTCTGATGTACTGATGTTGGTTGCTGGGTACATCGTAAATGAATGCCAACCGTGTGCACTACACCCCTCATCTAGAAATTGCAGAGTTCGTTCATGCCAATTAATATTAGAGTTGTGAAGGACTAGCCATGGTAATCCCAGAATAGCCTGGTGGTGTGGCATTTGGATCAAGTTGAATGTAATTTCTTCACAATGGTTCTGGTAGCACAGCAGCAATGGCTCGGTCTCATATAAGACTGCTCCAGATGATATTTTTCGACCATCAATCACTTCTACTGATAGTAGGATATTCTTCTTTTTAACAGGTAGGTTGTATTTGTGTGCTAGTATATAGTCAAGAAAGCAAGCAGAAGCACCCGAGTCTATTAATGCATTAATGGACAGCAGAGGTTTGTTTGGAAGTTGTACCAACACAGGTATGATGAAAGTGTCCGTTAAAATGTGGGAGTTGGTTTTTTGGGGGCTTAACTTACAAGTACCATCCAACTTCAGCCCCCTTACTGCAGCTGGGGCTCACCTTTTCCTGACCTTTCTGGCATTGCTTCTGCAGCGACAATCCTATGATTGGCAACGCCTTTTTTTGGACAACTTCTGGCTATGTGGCCAGGTTCACCACTGTATAAGCAGAGGTTATTGGCCCATCGTCTCTGCTTTTTTTCCTCAGTCAGGGTTCTCATCCTGGTTGAGTCAATTTGCATTGGCTTTAGGAGTAAGTTAGTCTTACCATAACTATTTACTGAATCACCCCAATTTGATGTATGGCCTTGTCATTCCTGACGTCGCTCAAACAACCTATTATCACAATGTACTGCCTTGGATATTGCATCATTCAGCGAAGTGGGATCTTTCATAGTAAGTAATAGGTCTTTCACATTACTTCTTAGCCCAATTCAAAATTGATCAATTAATGCTGCTTCACCCTAGTCCATGTCATTAGAGATTTGCCAAAACTCTGAAGCGTAACTTGAAGCCGAATTGGATCCTTGGGTAAGTTTTCTGATTCTATTGGCTGCCGTTCTAACCTTTTCTGAGTCCCCAAAGGTAGCTTCAAACTCTCTAACAAAACCATTGAAATCGTTCAACAGCGGTGATTCTTTTTCAAGGAGTAGGGCAAACCATGCCAATGCTGGGCCTACAAGTAAACTGCCAAGCAATCCCACCTGAGTCCTATCATTGGGGTATCGGCTGGGTTGTAAACGGATAATAAGCCGTATTTGGTTTAGGAACCCTCTAAACTTTGAGCGAGTCCTATCAAACTTATCCAGTAGGCTAACTTTTAGCTCTTTTGGATGGTTGAGAGTCTCTTCTTGCAACTGAAGTTGGTTGAGTTTGTTGCAAAAGTCCATATTTTCTTGTCTCAAGAGTTGGTTCTCTTGTTGGATTTGCTGTAGTACAAGAAGGATACTATTAAGGTCTGGTTGTTCATCCATATTTATGTGTATATTATTATTTTTGTATGTTTTACTGTTTATAATCTACAACGGTCTACAGGTTTTGTAGTCTGATCAAACTGTCATGGTACAAGGATCACTTCGAATATGCACTATATAACAGAAGACGGGGCACAGTATAAGAAGCTTGAACAAGACACAAGAAAGTATTTGTATTGATCAGACTAGAGCTAAGTATACATTTTGTTTTCTCTTTTTTATATCTTTTACTAATTACTAATCACTATTGCATTTTTACTTAGATACTATAAAACTATGACTACATTATTCATGCACACTTTATTACTATTTTAACTACACTATGATTATATTGTTAATGCACAGCTTTATTGCTACTTCTAATTGTGCTATGACTACATTATTAATGCGAGACTTTATTACTTCATTACTTATGCGCACAGGGTCTTGGGTTTGTGACGAATCTGAGTTTCAGGCTTGGATCACAGTCTTGAGTCGGGCTCGAGTTACAGGCTCGGGTCATGGGCTTGGGTCACAGGCTTGAGTTGGGCTTGGGTCACGGGCTTGGGTTGGGACTGGGTCACAGGCTTGGGTCAGGACTGGGTCATGGGCTTGGATCGGGACTAGGTCACGGGCTTGGGTCAGGCTTGGGTTAGACTTAGGTCATAGGCTTGAGTCACGGGCTCGAGTCAGGCTTGTGTCATGGGCTTGAGTGGCTTTGGCGTGTAACCGTGACACCTTTACAGTAGGGCCATCGAAGATCCAGCTATCTCTTTACTTGGGTCTTCTCAAATGGACTTCTTGTTACCCAATTTTAACAGATTTACATAGCCACAAGGACTTATCTAGTGTTTGCACTATCTGATTTGTCAGTTTGCATTCCTTCGTATAATGCCATACTTACACAGATGCCCTATAACCTGCCATTCATGCTAGTGCAACCACCATTACAGGTATCCTAACCTAATCATTAGTAACAGTTCTATAATATGAATATTACATAGATGATTATCCAAATTTTCACCGTCGATAGGATTTGAACATCCAACCTATCACTTGGAGGGTTGACAACCTGACCACTTCACTAGACCACCACACCCCTTCTAATATCTTTTTTGAATTTAGTAACATTCAATATTACATAAACAAAACCTAGTGACTATTTTATAAATAGAAAATTCTAGAGTAGTTCTGCAATTTATTATTGCAATAAGTTTTTTTTTAAAACTTTTTTTAATATCTTTAACATGTTTATTGTTTTTTTAATAATTATTTAATAAACTTTATATACTCTTCTTTTTTTAAGCATATTGTATACTATTGTATTAGTAAATAAACTGTTATTTTGGTTACAATTTTTCTTGTTTGGTATCTATATACTCTCCTCTGATAGTATTTTTATTATATAATTTTTTTTGTTTTTTTGTTTTTATCTTTTTTCTATTATTAAACCTTGTTTTAATTTTTTGTTATCTTTTTTTATATCTTTTGTTTTAATTCTTCTAATTGTTTTTTATTTTTTTTAATAGATATATTTATTTTTATCTAATTGTTATTTTTTTAAGTTATATTTATACTTACTTTTTTTTATAAAGTTCTAATGCTTACTTATAATTTTTTCTTGTTAGGCTTCTTATTTTTTGTTTTTTTTTATATTACTTTGTACAATTCTTTTAGATTTTTTTTTGTTTTAATTATTTGCTATTGTGTTTTTTTTTATATTATATCCGTTTTGATATAGATTTTACTATTATTATATTTTTTTGTTTTAATAATATTTATTTTCTTTTTTGGCTGTTCTTTTTTTGCTCTTTCTATTAGTTTCTAATTATTTATAGCAAAGCAACCTTAATTGAGTTTGTTTTGTTAATATAATAACAATTTTATCTTTTCTTTTTAGTATTATATATGTTTTACTTGATTAAAAAAATTTTAAGAGTGTAGTAACTTAGTAAAGTAAATAAGTTGTTAACTCTTCAAGTAGTAGGTTAGTTATTCAAATCCTATCTACAATAAAAATTTAGATAATTATCTATATAGTTTTTGTATTATAGTAACTGTTTCTATAATTAGATTAAGATTTTGTAATGATAATTATATTAGCATAATTGGTAGATTATAGAGTATCTGTATAAATATAGCATTATACAAAAAAATGCAAACTGATATCAAATAGAGCAAATGCTAAATAAATCCTTATAGCATATAAATCTATTAAAATTGGAAAACAAAAAGTTTATTTAAAAAGTTTCAAGTAAAAAAATAACATAAATTTTTAATAATACTATTGTAAAGATTAGTTTTAAAAAATAGATACCAATATTGAAGTACTTAAATAAACAAGAACTTTTAAATAAAAAATATTATTAACCAGGTTATCAGAACAAATCAGAGAAAAAATACATTAGTCTAATCTGATATACTAATAAACTAATTATAGTTTTATACAAGCTATCTGAATTAAAAGTCTAAAGAACAGACAAGAATATACTAAAGTAATTTAAATATGCTGTGAAGTAAATACTAAAGTCTAAGCAAACTCTATAAAAGTATAATAGTTTAATAGTTAGCTCTAACTATAAGTATTAGTTCTGTTATAGTGATATTAGATTAGTTGTAAAAATAAATACAAAAGGCTCTAAAAGGCTTACTTTAAGATAAAATAGTTTTAAGATTAAAACACTAACCTAAGCATGACTTAGTAATATTAACACAAATGCAAGTTTAAAAAGTTTAAAATAAAACATCCAGGCAAAGATGTTAGATATAACAATTGATAAAGAATCTTCAGCAGACTTTTTAAATAAATAATATAAAAAAGTTATATATATAGCTAATTATATATTTTTTTTATTACTTAAACTGTTTTTCTGGCAGATCTGTCTAAATTTTTAAATTAAATTTAGTATTTATTAAATAATATAATAAATTATTTATAATATGAAGTATAGTTTACAGTCAGACCTCTTTATAGTCACACCCTTAGGATACAGAAATTGGTGATTATATAGAGGTGTGACAAGTATAGAAGTACTTATATATAGTCACAACACTATTAAAAAAAATAATTCATGATTATATAGAGAATTTATAAATAATTTTTTTTAAAAAAACTTTTTTAATTGATCAATAATAGTTGCTCTATATAAAAGTTAAAATTGTATTAAGTAAATTGATCTTTACATATTAAGTAAAGTTGTTCAAAAGAACAATTTATATGTAGTATAAAATTTTCATATTTTTTAAAAAATATTTTACTAATTGATTTTTATAATTTACATTTTTATGAAAAAATTTGATTTTTTTTTATATAAACATAAATTGTAAAGTTAATTAGTAAAATATTTTTTAAAAAATATAAAAATTTTATACTACATGTAAATTGTTCTTCTAAACAACTTTACTTAATATGAAAAGATCGATTTACTTAATAATATTTTGACTTTTATATAGAGCAACTATTATTGATCAATTAAAAAAAATTTTTTAAAAAATTTTATTTATTAAAAAATAATAAAAATAATAAAAATAATTTTATTTTTTAAGATACATTTATTGAAACAAATGTTTTAAATATTTAT